AATTGCACATGCATGGTGTGTATAACTTACGTGGATTGATGAAATGCCCTATCTTCTACACATTTAAAATACGCCTACAACGAGTTATGGACAGTTGGAATATTGCCAAATCGCGCCGCGACTGAAATCGCGTGAAGTATGCCCGGCCCTTAAGAAGAATGAAAATGAAGTCGTCAAATCGTGACGCTAAAAATCTGTAGTAGAAAATTGAAGATTAAGAATTGGTTCACGAAATAATGCTCGAGTTTAAATCAACCATCTGAAAAGGTAAATCTGCAACTTACAGAAAATCATACGTCAATGTGTTACGAATTCTCAGTTTCTGAAAAATCTTCAATATGGTTCAAACACAATTTTGCAATCATGTAATATATCATTTCAAGGTTTCATCTTGGACTGCTGACTTTAAGTTTGCCTTCTCCTCCATTTTCCAACTTGAATCGTGAAAATTCTTCATAGTGAGTTCTTTTTTCGAATGACAGATATTTTCTCAACAGAAGCCATGAAAAGTGGATTTCAAAATTGCCACTCGTATTCCTCGTGCTTTTTTCCAAGCAAAGTTATGAAATACGTTTTCATATGGTCTCCTTCTAGTTTCTTTGCTAAGTTGTTCTGGATCCTTGCCAGATCCTCTCCACAGTGCTTGCGCTCTCAATTGCCTCCTGCGGATAGGGAGGTAGGGCCTTTGGTTCCTCCTGCTACGCCGCCTAAGGACTTCATTCTGAAAAAATCACGGCTTCAATGGGGCGTTGCTGCAGGATTAGTCACAAAGGTGCAGTGAGCAAGTACAAAATCTCTAGTCACCTCAAAATATCACTGGACATATCCAGGGACAGAGAGAGTAAAAAATTAATTTGATGACCCATATTCAACTTGGTTATTTACAAATGTATTCAAAGTCTTAATCTGCATTTTTGTTCTATTCCTGTACTAGTAATGGGACCTTAATCTCCGTGCTTGTTGTTATTGCTATTAGCAGAAAGATATGTTCGTTAAAGCAGAAAGATGTGTTCATTTAAGTTCTTTAGCAATTTTTTGCACATTGTTTCTGTTTCCCATTCGGTATCATACATTAGCAGTTTGTTTTTAACAATCATCGTTTATCTGCGTCACAATTAAAAGGTTGTAACAGAATTAATGCAGGTTTTCCAAATTTTGAGTTTGGACAACTATATCTTTTCACAGAAATAGTAAATCCGTTTTCAGTAAAGACTGCTGCAATCAGCAAATCTTTGAGAATTTGAATTTAGTACGCACTACTATGTCGTAGTAGCTTCGCTGAGGAAATTTTATAGCCTAAAGATTGCCAAAATTTCTCTTGGAAAACCTGCAGTTTGAGAGGCCATAACTTGCTGCACAATTCAGTAGAGTGATACAAATTTTACTAAATATCTAGACAATAGTTGGTTGTGCAGCAGTGTTAAGCTTGAAAATGCGAATAAATTTTTGTTAGAAAATATCGCAAAAACTTTATGATTACTCGTTTTTATCAATTGCTCTAAAAAGGCGAAAAAGTCCTTCTATGTTGTACTAGCTGGCTTACCCGGCTCCGCCGTATGTTCCGAATAGAAAATTCCATTTCTTAACCGATCCGAACCAAACTTGGCATACATACACTTCGGGCCCCGGCGGGTGTCACAGTCCACTTTTCGTTATCGATTGATGTCGATTTTATCGATTTTTTGCAAAATTTGAGCTACGGGGCTGGGAGTTGGCAGAGGGGTGTAATCGAGCATGCTGATCACCCCCACGGGGGTGATCAGCATGCTCGATTACCCCCCTGTGCCAACTCCCAGCCCCGTAGCTCAAACTTTGCAAAAAAATCGATAAAATCGATAAAAGTAATGCACGATTTCAAAAACTAATATTGTATTCGGAATCCCCATGCTCACTTACCCCCCTGTGCCAACTCCCAGCCCCGTAGCTCAAATTTTGCAAAAATCGATAAAATCGATATCGGTCGATGACGAAAAGTAGCCTATGACACCCGCCGGGGCCCGTAGTGTATGTGTGCCAAGTTTAGTCCGGATCGGTTCAGAAATGGAATTTTCTATTCGGAACATACGTACAGACAGACAGACAGACAGACATACAGACATACAGACAGACAGACAAACAGACATTCAGCCTTATATATAAGATTTTGAATTTTCTCGCTGCCAAAGAGAATAACAATTTCCGTTTTTTTTTGCCATCAAATGTATTGTGCCTATTCTCTGTGCTCACAAAAGCTCTGCATTTGCTGCGCACTTAGGATTTTTATACGCCGCAGAAAATGATAGCAGCGGTTATTTGGGTTTAAAATATGATTTCTCATTCTGGAAATTTTTGAAAAATCTGCTTCAGTCTGCATTTTGTAGAAAGGGTCATATGCAAACATTATGCCAGTTTGCGAAAAATTCCGATTTTTTGCGGTGAATTGAGAGAAATGAGTTTGAGAAGAAAGTAATTCAGGGTTTAGCTTTTTGAATTCGAAGGCACGTAATTTCGGGATGAATCCACTACCCTCGAAACGAAAGCATGCCTACGAAACTAGAAGAAGAGTGCTTTTAGATGATGTGCATAGTTTTCTGAGACAATGGAATTTTGTTTTGAATCAGCACATTGAAAAAGAGGTGCGAAAAATACAACCTAATATATCATAATACTGAAATGTGGTTTACGTTATTAGATGAGAATCAATACGATGGCCCCCTATTTTTCTTCTACAAATGATCCTCTTTCTCATGGGCCAGGTTGCGGAGACTTGAGTGAGCCTTGAAAAAAAATCGAGTTAGTTATGTTCATGTCTAACAATAAGTTACGCTTTGAAAAGTGTTTGCCATTGAATATAATTCAACAGTGGCGATAAAAATTGGCGATCCGTTATGTATTCTTTTCTGTTGTTAATAAGTACATAGTATAGTCATACCCCATATTCGTTGCATCTGGCCTTTTCTATATGCGTGGTAGCTAATTTTTATTGCAAAATGAGAGTCGAGTTGCGTTTTCATTGTCCACTCTCAGTCAAACCCGCATATTCGCTTTGTATGTTCGTTGAGTTGTAAAGCAACATTAAAGTTGTTTTAAATTTGTTTACTGCGCATCAGCGAGAAAAACTTCTTTGACATCATCGTAAACTTTTGGAGTCCCCCTCCCCCGAAAATCGGTCGTGAAATCTTGAAATTTACTTAAGTGGATTATAAAAATGTGCAAGCGACTCGTTTAATTTTGTAAATAATTGGAAAGATCTGTTTTTTTTTTCAAAAATTCAAAATATTCTTGTGAAAAAAACAACGCTCCCTTTTTCTACATTGTAGGGGTTGTGGGTCCGCCGAAATTTTGAGAAGCACTCCCAAAAAATTTCTCGAAGTGCGTGGCTATCGCGCATCTTCATTTGAAAAATTTTTGCCACCCCCTCCCCCCGGGGGCGAAATCCCGCGACCGCCACTGCCTGTGAACTATATCATCTTTACCTGCTCTGCTGCTACCATTGCAAATGATTTTCGCTCAAGAGATTGAGTGATCTCTTGTCCAGAAGATTTGTTGGCATTTATTGCTTGAGCCGTAATTATTTCGTAAAATTTTATAAGTTGTGTACTTCTTGATCTTCTTTGCCTATCATTCCACTATTTCTTGAACTGCATGTCAGCTTTACTAAGATTACAAGCAGAAATACTTATCAATGAGACTAAGGAGAACGCAACACCAGTGCTAAACTTTGTCTCCACTTTTTTCTCTTGAAAATAATGGAGAGTCAGTGAACAGTTCGTTGGCCCTAATTTGTGTGCATTTTCCTTCAATACTATGAGCATGATTGTGTGTCATTACCTGCTCGGAATTTCCACTTCTTGCTATCCCTTAAAATGCGGTTGAGCGTCAATGCATCAATTAATTTATTAATGCGTATCCGATGTTAAGATGTTATCTTTTGAGCGGTTTTATTATTATTTATTAATTATTTATTTGCGTAATCAATCTACGATCTGCTCCTCATGAAAATTGAAATCGGAATCGTTATTAGTTTTCAATAGGTGTAGATGAAAATGTTCCGCCTTACCGTATGTTATCTGAAAATCCGGCATACTGTTTGACTGAAATTGAGTTGACCATCGAATTAGGACTGGCCTGTCCCGTTTCGTTTTTCTTCAATTCGTCTCAAGAAAAAGCTAGTCTTCAAGTCATATACCTGAGTGTTTGCAAAGAGGCTACCTTATTCGGAAAGTTAGAACCGTCTGAAAAAGGTCCAAGTTTGGAGTCTATGAAAACAAATTCACTTACAGCTTGCGCTCTGTGGAAAAGAATTTACCACTTTTATGATGAATGTCCCTCATTGACGCCATTTTCTTCAATTCATTTGGTCATCAAGCCAAAGTTTCTACTCCTCTTTTGATGTTTTCTTGAAGCGGAAAAAACTTCTCAAATAGCAGGCGAATTCATGCTAAGAGTACTCGTGGGATCACTTTTTCAGAAACTTTGTCATTTTTGGAACCGTTCAAATACTTCAGATCAATAATTGCGTATTTCAAAATACCAAAAGCATGGTTGCCAACATATCCTGTTTGTGCGTCTTTTCGTATTTCTTCAGTTCAATAGGATTGCGAATTTTTGGGTGCTGTTGACTGCCTGGTCTTGTATAGTATTTTTTCCCCGAAAATTCCCAGATGATGCACCCTATTGTTTGCTCTTTATGATTGTGCCCAGTTGAATAAAAAGTGAAAAAATGACTTTGATATAATAAAAAACGAAAATCCAAAAATAATTTGGGACTAACGTCTTTGTTTTTGATCTGCCCATCTGTTCTGAAAGATTTATGTTTTCCTGTTCAAAAACTAACGTAAACTCGTCTGTTAGATTCGCTCATCTGTTCCTAGGTTTGTTTTTTTTTTCAGTCCACCATTGATCGTTGCTATTCTCGTCAATTTTCTGAGTAAGCTACTCAAACATTAGTTTACAGGTTTCAAGTACTCGAATCCTCACTTTTGTACAAGTTACTGGAAATGTGATTTTTCCCCGTGGCAATGTCGTCTTGGTTTTCGTACCTACTGTAAGTTTTCTTTTCGTTACGCATTCTTCCGCTTTTTACCTATGTAAAGTATCTACAATTTCAATCTCAGTATTTTCTCTTGTTAAAGTGTCAGATAATTCTGTAAAGGTTTTTTGCTATGTTAAGCACAATTAGTTGTGTAATCACAATTATCGAATCGCAAACTTGCAAGGTTTTGTATCTCACGTAATTATTGTTCTTTTTTGGATAGTGTCACATAAAATACTGGCTATCGGCGATACACAATGCGTTCCGTGAAACTTCTTAAATGACGCGAATTAGGAAGTGTTTGTTTGAAATCAAGGCTATTAACTGCAGACTTATGGAAAGAGTTTGGAAGGGGTTGACCAAAACAGTCAAGGTCTAAAAAGTATGCTCTCCAAGACTAGATGTACTTCGGATACACATTTGCTTGAATATAACTTATTGCAGTGGCACCGTGCCAGAAAGAGATGAGGAAGCAGAGACTGCCGAACCCCAACCTGAAGTTGAGCACAGAGAAGAGGTTATCTATCATTTGATTGGTTTTTGTGTTATGGTGCCTTGCTTCTGCATTTTCCTCCAAATACTTTGTGACTGTTTTGCTTTCGAAAAGGAGCGTCTTGCTTGAATGATGAAGATTGAAGCTTTAAACCTTTTCATGAGGTATTGCACAGCAAGTAAATCATATTTTGAAGGAATCGACACATGAATTGGAGGGCTTGGCCGGATTGTCTCCATCGACATCTAACAATATTGGGGCAGCCTTAGAAGGCCTATCGGAACAACAACGAGAGCTGATAAGCGATGTAAGTTTTTTTAATATAGAGATGAACTCGTCTCAAAGTAGGCTAATCATTAGTAACTAGTCAAGTAATGGCATCTTCATCTCGATTAAGTCACGACTGCCCCGAATTATTGGCAACCAGTTTCAAGAGCAAAAAAAAGTCGAAACTAAGTTTTGTTTCGTCCCTGCATACAGAAGAAAGATAAAAAGAATACGCTTTTCCCGGAACTCTCATCAGCAGTGAAGGAAGATTGTAGGTATAGAAGAAAAAAAAAGGAAAGAAAAAGAAAATACAAGAGAAACACGTAAAGATAAGCGCGCCGCGTTCGCACCCACTCAGCTTATACTGATTTTGCGCCTCCGTTTGGCAGTAACCTTAAAGAGAAGAAAATCTTTAACTGTACTGTATAGTGTATTCAACAAAGATTAGATATGATCTTATTGTCTGTAATGAGAATGGATGTGAAGAGCGTTATTGAGAAAGAGTAAAAATTGCCAAGAAAAAATAACGCATTTACCAACTATGTTATGACTTAATTCAAAGACAAATTCGAAAATTTTCATTTTTCCATTGTTGTTGCGAATACATTTCCAAGCAAAGCAAATTTCTTGGTTCAATAATGGCAGCTGCTCATCAATAATGGCAGCTGCTCATTTTATGCACCTATTACCAATCTCATCTTACTCAGCTTTTTACGATTATTATGTTTTTTGCATAGATCCGTCGTTTCGAAGTTGAGACGATTTCGAGCCATTTTGCAATACAGGTCCTACGACGAGCGGAAGCTTCGCGCAGAGGAGCAAAGGTAGTTGTTGATGGACGACGTCTTCAGCGGTATAGTAGAATGCAAAGGGGGTCGTCATCAGAGAGGCAGTTTAGCGTCGAAGAAATACCAGAAATACCACAAGATGATAGTATCGAGCGCGGTGATCTCGTTCAGATGGATTCGATTCCAGAGGGTAGGTTGTCTCAGATGTTTCGGTATCTTGGTACCACCGATGGAACTTTCTTAGATCTCACAGTATCCATGGACCCGCAAGCGGTATCCACACGTGGGCGGTCGTCTTTCAGTTGGATAAGCAATTCCGAATCAGGTAACGTGTTACCGTTTACTCGATTTATTTGATTTTGATAGTTTAGATTGGGCTCAAAGTACATTGAGAAGCAGGATAGAGACATTCGGAAAGCGTTTATCACATTGGTTTGATACACTTGACTATGACGGTGACTACATGAATCTTCAGTTCAACATCGGTATGCAAAAGCTAAGTAAAACGCATTGATGTTCTCAATGTTTTTCAGGGTCTAACGAAGTCACTTCTTTGAACAAAGAAATTTCTTCGTTCAGTGATGTACTTTCTACCGGGGTTATTATTCTTGCCTTATTTGAGCTCTATGAAAGCTCACTACAAAGCTCATTCACTCTTCATACATACTGCGAGAAGCTAACCGGAACTATATTAGCTATGATCTACAGTGATCTCAAACATTATATTGTTTCAAATGATGAAATTGTTGTTATTGATGCGTACTGTTCGCAAATGGTTTTGCACATAATGGATGAAATTTTGCAAGCAACACGGGACAAATCAGCTCTTGGACTCCTTTTGCCAGATGGTGAGCTTTTTTTTTATTATTTGCGCTTTGACATAGAAGATTTGATTACCCGTGCAGTGATTCTGCTTTGGCGGCAATTTTTGCGTAGAAAAAGTGCCATGCAGCTTTAACTTTGGAGATGAGAAAATTTTGTGGCCATTTTTACGCGCAGCAATTTTTTCCGCCCAACCGTTGTGGATACCGCAAAGACACAGCTGTTAACGGTAAAACTTTCCAGAGCTCAAAGAAACCATTCCGAAATCGCTGTCCGTCTCACAACTATCAACACCTTTGTCTGCCTGCTATGAAGTGTTAACGGCGGACACAGAATCTTCTGAAACTGAGTGCGTCATCTCCACATCATTGCTTCGCAATAGTCAGACATCAAAACTTTTCAGAGACATGGCCGAAGTGCCATGGTACAAGAGTTGGCAACCTCCAACTGAACCGCTGTCCGACCTGGAAGGCATTCGTACAAGTATCGAACAAAGAACAGCTCTTGGAAGGGAGTCTAATGAGGTTTTGGAGCCGCTGCCACCCCAACTTTCTCCTGTTGAATCTGACGAATATCTGGCAGAGAAACCAGAGGACAAACGCTCGTTTGCTTCTGAGGTTTGTCAGTTCTTGTAGAAAATGAAAAAATTAGAAGAAGAAGAAAAACTACTTTATCAACCTTTTTTCCGTGCAAGAGTTAACATCTTTCTTTTCTTGTGCTCTCTGTAAAACATATGTATGTACAAAATTGGGGTTAACATTTTGGAAATTCTCACGTAATATCCACCAACCAGATATTCGTTTACCTCGTTCAGTGCCCATTTATTCTACCGAGCATTTTTCTATCAGGTTAATCGGGAAGTTTTCTCTAGGCACTGTTTCAAAGTTTTTCAAATCCAACCCCTTGGAGCAAATGAACTTCATCGCAGTTTGCGCACTCTGACACTGCTATTGTGCTAGTCTTATGTTTTTTTTGTATTGTGAGCTGATTTTGCAGGAAACCATTGAAGCCCAAGAAGGCGTCTTCAATGTTATTACTCATTGGTCCTATTAAAACAAGCTCTAAGGTTGAGAATAAAATGATGGTGGTAGGGGAAGTTTGGAGGTCTAAGTATTATCATAATAACATTGATGCGGAGTTAATCACTTTTAGAGAGCATTTATATGTGGTTCGCTGCACCTTGGCGAAAGTGGCACACTCTTCATAGTTGTGACTGCAAGTTACCCCATTCTCAGTTTTTCATTGAAGTTCTTAACGAATCGTTATCATACTACTCTGCTCTAACTGTACAGCCGCAGCTCACTTAGCTATAGCATAAGATCAGCAGCACATTGATTAGAGCCCATTGCCCTTTTTGAGTAACGACTTTACGGCCATGCTTCTAATGCTTGTTTCAGACAGTTTAATACGGTGCCAATGCTTACCGTTGACTTTAGTCCATCTTTTGCTATAGGTACAGCGCAATTGCCTCAAAGTTCCTCTTGCCTTTATATGGGAGAGTGTTCTCCAGGACAGGGCACAGTTTTTGCTCTCCAAATGCTAGATCTGATATTTCTTCGAATCCTCCACCACCTTCAAAAAGATTAGCCTTAGCTAATGTACTGCGCATATATGCTCTTTCAACTACCTTTATTGAAATTTGAACTAGAAAAGCGGTTACGTGAAACCTGCGTTTTCGTGACAAGCTCATGGCCGTATCGCTTTCTCAAAAAAGCTATTTCTGCGTCTCTTTCCATGGAGCTAAAGTTGAGGGTCTAAACGGAATCTCGAAGGCCTACTACTACACTATATATGCGCCTTGGTGACGAGAAGCAAGAAACCTACATAATTCTGCTGTGTACGGCTATTTAGTCTCAGAAAACCGCCAGATCTAGTAGGGTATTATGCAGCAGAGAGACGCGCGGTTATGAAGCAGATTAGGGCAGTAAGCAAAGCTGACATGCTACCTTAGTCTATTCTGGGTGCTTATATACTAAAATCATACATATATGTTGTACTTTCTCCTGGCGAACTCCGAATTTGCAAACGCGAATATTCAGGTCACTAAAGGCGAAAGCAAATTCGACAACGATAGCTGCACATATGAACAAGACGAAGACATTGCGCTAGAAAAGCTGCCTTTCCAAGAAAAATTCCAGGAAGAAATGTACTGGAGATCCCAATACTCAGGTAAGATGATTTCACTTTCTCATCGAGAGGAAGAAGGAAGAGAAACATGGAGAGCGATATTGAAGTGCATGAGGGAATACTGGATGTGAGCATGAGAGAGAGTAGGGTAGTTGAAAACAAGTAGAGAAATGAGAGAAAGTTGCACAAGGAAAGGTTTGCTAGGCATTGAAGAGAGTTCGTCGAGTTTGATGGAACACGACAAATTAATCGTCCAAACGCCCTCAACAACACCGACAGAAGAACAGCCTTCCCATCATCGCATTTCGGTAGACAACTTTGCTTTGTTAAACTATGAACAAACATGCACTACTCTGATACAGGACATCTTGAAGGAAGATCAGCGAGAACAGGATTTGGGCTGCTTAGGGCACCTGGACCACTACGAATGGGAAGAAATTCCGAGAAGGGTCCGTGCCCGAGAAAATTCGCTTGAGTTAATCTCCTCGAAAGTACAAGCGGGCTCATATGCAAAACATCCGTCGCTCCCTGAAGGAGACATAGACGCACATTTGGATGAAGAAATCAATACAGTGCGCGGTCTTCATGATGAAATTGGGATTAAGCAGAAGGATATAGTTGGTGCGACTATTCAGCAAACGGCCGAAGAATCATATTTCGAAGCGGAGTCGATAACTGTGCCTAAGGAACTTGCAAGAGAAGAGTCCGAAGCCACCTCAGGTGCTGACAAAGAGCCACCATCCGAACTATCTTCTCCACTTGAAGGCATTCCCGAATATGAGAGATCTTCACCTCTTCTGGAAGAAGACGAAACGAAGCCAATAGCAGCACCTGCCAGACCTCCACCTCCAGCAAGTCTTCTGGAAAAAGCACATGACGAACTGCTCACACAAGAAGAGTTGGATCACATCGCCGAAGTCCAGCGAGCGGCTGAAGAATCATATGTCGAAGCGGAGTCGATAACTGTGCCTAAGGAACTTGCCAGAGAAGAGTCCGAAGCCACCTCAGGTGCTGACAAAGAGCCACCATCCGAACTATCCTCTCCACTTGAAGGCATTCCCGAATATGAGAGGTCCACACCTCTTCTGGAAGAAGACGAGACGAAGCCAATTGTAGCACCTGCCAGACATCCACCTCCAGCAAGTATTGTGGAAGAAGCACATGACGAATTGCTCACACAAGAAGAGTTGGATCACATCGCCGAAGTCCAACGAGCGGCTGAAGAATCATATGTCGAAGCGGAGTCGATAACTGTGCCTAAGGAACTTGCAAGAGAAGAGTCCGAAGCCACCTCAGGTGCTGACAAAGAGCCACCATTCGAACTATCTTCTCCACTTGAAGGCATTCCCGAATATGAGAGATCTTCACCTCTTCTGGAAGAAGACGAAACGAAGCCAATAGCAGCACCTGCCAGACCTCCACCTCCAGCAAGTCTTCTGAAAAAAGCACATGACGAACTGCTTACACAAGAAGAGTTGGATCACATCGCCGAAGTCCAGCGAGCGGCTGAAGAATCATATGTCGAAGCGGAGTCGATAACTGTGCCTAAGGAACTTGCCAGAGAAGAGTCCGAAGCCACTTCAGGTGCTGACAAAGAGCCACCATCCGAACTATCTTCTCCACTTGAAGGCATTCCCGATTATGAGAGGTCCACACCTCTTCTGGAAGAAGACGAAACGAAGCCAATAGCAGCACCCGCCAGACCTCCAGCTCCAGCAAGTATAGTGGAAAAAGCGCATGAGGAACTGCTCACACAAGAAGAGTTGGATCACATCGCCGAAGTCCAGCGAGCGGCTGAAGAATCATATGTCGAAGCGGAGTCGATAACTGTGCCTAAGGAACTTGCCAGAGAAGAGTCCGAAGCCACCTCAGGTGCTGACGAAGAGCCACCATCCGAACTATCTTCTCCACTTGAAGGCATTCCCGATTATGAGAGGTCCACACCTCCTCTGGAAGAAGACGAAACGAAGCCAATAGCAGCACCCGCCAGACCTCCAGCTCCAGCAAGTATAGTGGAAAAAGCGCATGAGGAACTGCTCACACAAGAAGAGTTGGATCACATCGCCGAAGTCCAACGAGCGGCTGAAGAATCATATGTCGAAGCGGAGTCGATAACTGTGCCTAAGGAACTTGCCAGAGAAGAGTCCGAAGCCACCTCAGGTGCTGACAAAGAGCCACCATCCGAACTATCTTCTCCACTTGAAGGCATTCCCGAATATGAGAGATCTTCACCTCTTCTGGAAGAAGACGAAACGAAGCCAATAGCAGCACCCGCCAGACCTCCACCTCCAGCAAGTCTTGTCGAAGAAGCATATGACGAACTGCTCACACAAGAAGAGTTGGATCACATCGCCGAAGTCCAGCGAGCGGCTGAAGAATCATATGTCGAAGCGGAGTCGATAACTGTGCCTAAGGAACTTGCCAGAGAAGAGTCCGAAGCCACTTCAGGTGCTGACAAAGAGCCACCATCCGAACTATCTTCTCCACTTGAAGGCATTCCCGAATATGAGAGATCTTCACCTCTTCTGGAAGAAGACGAAACGAAGCCAATAGCAGCACCTGCCAGACCTCCACCTCCAGCAAGTCTTCTGGAAAAAGCACATGACGAACTGCTCACACAAGAAGAGTTGGATCACATCGCCGAAGTCCAGCGAGCGGCTGAAGAATCATATGTCGAAGCGGAGTCGATAACTGTGCCTAAGGAACTTGCCAGAGAAGAGTCCGAAGCCACCTCAGGTGCTGACAAAGAGCCACCATCCGAACTATCTTCTCCACTTGAAGGCATTCCCGAATATGAGAGGTCCACACCTCTTCTGGAAGAAGACGAAACGAAGCAAATAGCAGCACCCGCCAGACCTCCACCTCCAGCAAGTCTTGTCGAAGAAGCATATGACGAACTGCTCACACAAGAAGAGTTGGATCACATCGCCGAAGTCCAACGAGCGGCTGAAGAATTATATGTCGAAGCGGAGTCGATAACTGTGCCTAAGGAACTTGCCAGAGAAGAGTCCGAAGCCACCTCAGGTGCTGACGAAAAGCCACCATCCGAACTATCTTCTCCACTTGAAGGCATTCCCGAATATGAGAGATCTTCACCTCTTCTGGAAGAAGACGAAACGAAGCCAATAGCAGCACCCGCCAGACCTCCACCTCCAGCAAGTATTGCAGAAAAAGCGCATGACAAACTGCTTACACAAGAAGAGTTGGATCACATCGCCGAAGTCCAACGAGCGGCTGAAGAATCATATGTCGAAGCGGAGTCGATAACTGTGCCTAAGGAACTTGCCAGAGAAGAGTCCGAAGCCACCTCAGGTGCTGACAAAGAGCCACCATCCGAACTATCTTCTCCACTTGAAGGCATTCCCGAATATGAGAGATCTTCACCTCTTCTGGAAGAAGACGAAACGAAGCCAATAGCAGCACCCGCCAGACCTCCACCTCCAGCAAGTCTTGTCGAAGAAGCATATGACGAACTGCTCACACAAGAAGAGTTGGATCACATCGCCGAAGTCCAGCGAGCGGCTGAAGAATCATATGTCGAAGCGGAGTCGATAACTGTGCCTAAGGAACTTGCCAGAGAAGAGTCCGAAGCCACTTCAGGTGCTGACAAAGAGCCACCATCCGAACTATCTTCTCCACTTGAAGGCATTCCCGAATATGAGAGATCTTCACCTCTTCTGGAAGAAGACGAAACGAAGCCAATAGCAGCACCTGCCAGACCTCCACCTCCAGCAAGTCTTCTGGAAAAAGCACATGACGAACTGCTCACACAAGAAGAGTTGGATCACATCGCCGAAGTCCAGCGAGCGGCTGAAGAATCATATGTCGAAGCGGAGTCGATAACTGTGCCTAAGGAACTTGCCAGAGAAGAATCCGAAGCCACTTCAGGTGCTGACAAAGAGCCACCATCCGAACTATCTTCTCCACTTGAAGGCATTCCCGATTATGAGAGGTCCACACCTCTTCTGGAAGAAGACGAAACGAAGCCAATAGCAGCACCCGCCAGACCTCCACCTCCAGCAAGTCTTGTCGAAGAAGCATATGACGAACTGCTCACACAAGAAGAGTTGGATCACATCGCCGAAGTCCAACGAGCGGCTGAAGAATTATATGTCGAAGCGGAGTCGATAACTGTGCCTAAGGAACTTGCCAGAGAAGAGTCCGAAGCCACCTCAGGTGCTGACAAAGAGCCACCATCCGAACTATCTTCTCCACTTGAAGGCATTCCCGAATATGAGAGGTCCACACCTCTTCTGGAAGAAGACGAAACGAAGCCAATAGCAGCACCCGCCAGACCTCCACCTCCAGCAAGTCTTGTCGAAGAAGCATATGACGAACTGCTCACACAAGAAGAGTTGGATCACATCGCCGAAGTCCAACGAGCGGCTGAAGAATTATATGTCGAAGCGGAGTCGATAACTGTGCCTAAGGAACTTGCCAGAGAAGAGTCCGAAGCCACCTCAGGTGCTGACGAAGAGCCACCATCCGAACTATCTTCTCCACTTGAAGGCATTCCCGAATATGAGAGATCTTCACCTCTTCTGGAAGAAGACGAAACGAAGCCAATAGCAGCACCCGCCAGACCTCCACCTCCAGCAAGTATTGCAGAAAAAGCGCATGACAAACTGCTTACACAAGAAGAGTTGGATCACATCGCCGAAGTCCAACGAGCGGCTGAAGAATCATATGTCGAAGCGGAGTCGATAACTGTGCCTAAGGAACTTGCCAGAGAAGAGTCCGAAGCCACCTCAGGTGCTGACGAAGAGCCACCATCCGAACTATCTTCTCCACTTGAAGGCATTCCCGATTATGAGAGGTCCACACCTCCTCTGGAAGAAGACGAAACGAAGCCAATAGCAGCACCCGCCAGACCTCCAGCTCCAGCAAGTATAGTGGAAAAAGCGCATGAGGAACTGCTCACACAAGAAGAGTTGGATCACATCGCCGAAGTCCAACGAGCGGCTGAAGAATCATATGTCGAAGCGGAGTCGATAACTGTGCCTAAGGAACTTGCCAGAGAAGAGTCCGAAGCCACCTCAGGTGCTGACAAAGAGCCACCATCCGAACTATCTTCTCCACTTGAAGGCATTCCCGAATATGAGAGATCTTCACCTCTTCTGGAAGAAGACGAAACGAAGCCAATAGCAGCACCCGCCAGACCTCCACCTCCAGCAAGTCTTGTCGAAGAAGCATATGACGAACTGCTCACACAAGAAGAGTTGGATCACATCGCCGAAGTCCAGCGAGCGGCTGAAGAATCATATGTCGAAGCGGAGTCGATAACTGTGCCTAAGGAACTTGCCAGAGAAGAGTCCGAAGCCACTTCAGGTGCTGACAAAGAGCCACCATCCGAACTATCTTCTCCACTTGAAGGCATTCCCGAATATGAGAGATCTTCACCTCTTCTGGAAGAAGACGAAACGAAGCCAATAGCAGCACCTGCCAGACCTCCACCTCCAGCAAGTCTTCTGGAAA